AACAATGAGTTTTTGCAGTACATGATGAGGCTGTTTTCAAACGCAGAGTATAGACCTAGAACTTAATCTTTATTAAGAGGCTCCCTATGAAGCTTTACTGAGGCTGTTCTCATGGGCTAGGCAGAGTTAGACAGTGAGAAAGAGAGACAGAGAGAGAGTTATAGACAGTAAGAGAGAGACAGAAAGAGAGGTCTTCCTTCCGTTGGTTCACTCCCCTAATAGCCACTACCGCCGGTGCTACGCTGATCTGCAGCCAGGAGCTGGGGACCCAAGCACTTGGGCCATCCTCCACTGCCCTCCTGGGCCACAGCAGAGAGCTGGACTGGAAGAGGAGCAATGGGGGCTAGTACCCGGCGCCCCTACTGGGACTAGAACCCTGGGTGCGGCGCCGCAGGCAGAGGATTAGCCAAGTGAGCCACGGCGCCAGCCGCCATTTGTATTTTGGTAGGGGTTGCATTGAATGTGTAGATTACTTTAGGTAGTATTGATATTTTAATGCTATTTATTTTTCCAGTCCATGAGCGAGGAATATCTTTCCATTTTTTGTGTGTCTTTGCTGATTTCGTTCATTATTGTTTTGTAATTTTCATTGTAAAGATCTTTCACTTCTTTGGTTAAATTTTTGAATTTTTTGTGACTAATGTGAATGGGATTTCTTTCTTGATATTTCTTTTTTTAAGATTTATTTATTTTATCTGAAAGGCAGAGTTACAGAGAGAGAGAGAGAGAAGAGATCCTCCATCTGCTGGTTCACTCCCCAAGGGCTGCATCAGCCAGGGCTGGGCCAGGCTGAAGCCAGGAGCCAGGAGCTTATCCAGGTCTCCCACATGGATGGCAGGGGCCCAAGGACTTGGGCCATCCTCTACTGCTTTTCCCAGGTGCATTACCAGGGAGCTGGATTGGAAGTGGAGCCGCTGGGACATGAGCTGGTGCTAAAATGGGTGCTGGCGCTGTAGGCAGAGGTTTAATCCACTGCGCCACCATGCCACCGCATGAGCCCCTTTTCTTGATATTTCTTTCAGTGAGTTCATCATGAGTATATAAAAATGCTACTTTTTTTGGTATGTTTATTTTGTAACCTGCAACTTTACTGAATTGGTTTATCAGTTCTAACAGCTTCTTGGTGGAGTTTTTAGTTTTTTCCATGCACAAAATCATGTCTTCTACAAACACGGATATTTTGACTTCCTCTTTTCTGATTTTGATGCTCTTGATTTCTTTCTCCTTCCCAATTACTCTCGCTAAAACTTCCAGTACTATATTGAATCAGAGTGGGGAAAGTGGACACCTTGTCTTTTTCCAGATCCGAGGGGAGATGCTTTCAGCTTTTCCGTGTTCAGTGTGGTATTCCACACTGTGTTCTTGTGTTCTAGATCTTGTGTTCTAGGTGGCCCTCCTGTGATTATAGACATGTTGGCCTATTTTAGAGCTTCCTGAAAGTGCAGTGATTCAGTGTGGACTCGGCTTTTTTCACGCAGTGAGTGTTTTCGCATGTGGGAATTGTTCATTTCTTTTTTATTAAATAGTTATGTAATACGATGGCTTTCAGAAGGTAAAGGAATACTGGGCAACGAGGATCAGGCTAAAACCAAGGCAAGGGCAGCTTAGCTAATGCCCTTTCCTAGGAATGAGCTATGCCATAGCCCTGGGGCTCTTGCCACGAGGTTAGGGCTCGGTCCACCGCACTTGGACACTCCTTCCTAAGCCACTTCGCTCTTCACCGTGCAGTAGCTTCCTTGGATACCTGACCTGACCCTCTGGCTTGGGGCTGTTCCTCAGGAGCGAGAGCATAAGGCACAGAATCCCATGCCCACACTTTAGTGTCAGTAGGCACCAGCAGGGCACCTGCATGGGCAGGCGGTCTTGCCTTTTGTTGATGTTGTGATTGTCTTCAAATGGGAAGGGTATTTAGCAGATGGGAAACCAAGATGCACAAATGTCCCCTCCAGATTTGTCCCTACCTCCTTTGAAGTAGTGGTTGTGTTGTATTTTATGTTCAATTCCTTAGTAGTTTTTTTCCCTCTTGTGGATCGCTAGCACCTAGCTCACTGGCTGGCACAAGACCCGTGCAAAAGAATCCTCTTTGTTGCGATTGAACAGACAGGCTGGCTATTAGATACAGTCAACACTCTCACTCCATCATGACATTATCTGCCTTTGGAGTTTTTCAGTGTAGTGTTTTTCCAAGCTACATTTTTCCCCCACATATGCACCTACTTTTCACTTTAAAGACAGAGAGACAGAAAGAGACAAACACAGAGATGTATCTTCTTCTGCTGATTCACTTCTCAAATGCACATGATGGCCAGGGCTGAGTCAAACCCAGTCTGGATCTGCCACATGGGTGGCAGAGACCCAACTACTTGAGCCATCACCTGCTTTATCCCAGTGTGTGCATTAACAGGAAGCTGGAAGCAGTAGTAGAGCCAGGACTTGAACCCAGGCTCTCCAATATGGGATGCAGGTGCCCCAAGGTGCATCTATATCACTGTACCAGATGCTTTCCCCAGCATATACTTTTTTTTTTTTTTTTAAGATTTAGTTATTTACTCTAGAGGCAGAGTTATAGACAGAGAGAGGGAGAGACAGAGAGAGAGAGGTCTTCCATCCATGGGTTCACTCCCCAAATGGCTACAATGGCCAGAGCTGGGCTGATTCTAAGCCAGGAGCCAGGAGCTTCTTCCAGGTCTCCCACGCAGGTGCAGGGGCCCAAGCACTTGGGCCATCTTCCACTGCTTTCCCAGGCCATAGTGGAGAGCTGGATCGGAAGTGGGGCAGCTTAGACTTGAACTGGTGCCCATATGGGATGGCAGCACAGTAGGCGGTGGCTTTACCCACTATGCCATAGTGCCAGCCCCAACCTTACTGATTCTTACCTCTCCTACTGTCAAGTGATGTGGAAGAAACAAGTTTAGACTATTTAATATGTATTTTGTCCGTGATTGCTTCTTCTTCTAAGATTTATTTTATTTGAAAGGCAGAGTTAGAAAGAGAGAGAAAGATCTTCCATTCACTGGTTCACTCCACAAATGACCTCAATGGCCTTAGGAGGGTCAATCCAAAGCCAGGAGCCAGGAGCTTCTTCCTGGTTTCCCACACGAGTGCAGGGGCCAAAGCACTTGGGCCATCTTCCACTGCTTTCCCAGGCCATAGCAGAGAGCTGGATGGGAAGTGGAGCAGCTGGGTCTCGAACCAGTGCCCACATGGGATGCCGGCACTCCAGGCCAGGGCGTTAACCCACTGCACCACAATGCTAGCCCCCCCGAATCCAGTTCTTACTGGCAATGTGCTGAAGGAATTCAAGGACCAGAGAGGATAAAGATTAGCAGAGAAATGAGACTTACTGGCAGAACCAGTCTCTGCTGCAATCCACAAGGTTCCGTCGGGGTTAGGTCTTTCCTTTTATGTGAACTGGAAGCCTAAGGGGGGGGGGGTGCTTTGGGTGGAATTTTCCAGGAAAGGTGGGGATTTGCATGTATTTGGTGACTGCCCATTTTTGGCCTTTTTAGGAAGTCTCAAAAGTGTCATGATGTCAGGTGCACATTGGGAGTAGAAGTGCCAGCCATGGTAATTCTATTATGATTATATCATGGTGGGACGTGATTGGCAGCCATGTTAGATATTTGCTGCTGGAATTGGTTTTCCTACAAAAGTGACTGCAGGTTGCGAGGCACGGGAGGAGTTTAAGAGGCAACCCTGGTGAGGGAGGTGGATGGTGTGGTGACACAGTTCCTTCAGCTCTTCCTCCAATCCTGTCTCCTTACTTGCAACAGTTCTATGGTTATTTTCTTTATTCCTCTCCTATCATCCGCTTTTTTTTTTTTAAAGAGGTTTATTTATTTATTTGAAAGAGTTACACAGAGAGAGAAGGAGAGGCAGAGAGAGAGGGAGAGAGAGGTCTTCCAACCACTGGTTCACTCCTCAATTGGCCGCAATGGCCGGAGCTGCACCTATTCAAAGCCAGGAGCCAGGAGCTTCTTCCAGGTCTCCCACGCAGGTGCAAGGGCCCAAGCACTTAGGCCATCTTCTACTGTTTTCCCAGGCCATAGCAGAGAGCTGGATCGGAAGTGGAGCAGCTGGGTCTCAAACTGGTGACCATGTGGGATGCTGACACTGCAGGCGATGGCTTTACCTGCTACGCCAGCCCCATATCATTCTTCTTGCACTCCCTTTAAAATATACTTAGAATGATTTAATTCCAAAGAGACTTGGAGGCACAAAATGAAAAAACCTGTGGCATGTACATGTCCCCACACATGGAGATCCATTCATAACTTGGTGGGAGAGGAAAGCCAGCACTGCAGGGCAGGACTCAAGTTTCAGCATTGCCTCTCCCTCAAGGAGTTCGTCTCGTCTAGGCCACAGGTCATCTCCAATCCCAGAAGCCCTTGCTTCACTTGCCAGGGCCTGGATAGTTCCCCTGGCTCCTAGCCACCTTTTCTATTGGGGCAAATGTGGAATTCACCTAAGGGGCAGAGCATGAGCTGGACAGATGTGTGCTGTGAGCCTCAGAGTTTACAGACCACATTCTTCAGCCATGGACACTCCATCTCCCAACTATTGCTCTTCAATCTTTGGTAAAGATGTAGTGTGGGGGCCGGCGCTGTGGTGTAGTGGGCTAAGCCTCCACCTGCAGCACCGGAATCCCATAGGAGCACCAGTTCTTGTCCCAGCTGCTCCTCTTCTGATCCAGCTCCCTGCTTATGGCCTGGGAGGGTGGCGAGGGATGGCCCAGGTGCTTGGGCCCCTGTGCCCACGTGGGAGGTCTACAGGGGGCTCCTGGCTCCTGGGTTCAGATTGGGCCAGCTCAGTGGATGGAGGATCTCTCTCTCTCTCTCTTTCTCTCTCTCCCTCCTTCTCTGTGACTCTGCCTCTCACATAGATAAATAAAATCTTAAAAAAGGGAGAGAGAGAGAAAACTGTAGTGAGCAGTAGGCTTAACAGTAGGCTACACAACAAATAAGTTAATATCTTATCATTAATATTTCTGTTTGCAGCTCTGGCTTTGGCAGCACAGATACTAAAATTGGAAACGATACAGAGAAGATGAGCATGGCCCCTGCAGGGGTGACATGCAAATTCGTGAAATATTTAAAAAAATTCCTGCTTGCAATGAAATTGAATAAGTCAATTTGGTTTGATTTATCATTATGTGCCAGAAATTCTAACCATTGTAAACAATAACCTTATTCTCGTCTTTAAAAAGAACATCTTTTGCTGGTCTAAATTGAAGAGAATTTCTAGTTGTGTTGTTATATATCCTTGCATCTGAACAGATGCAAATAATAACAGTATAGCGGTGGCATAGGCAGAGAGAAAGAATTCAAATTTCTTCATTTCTGCCATTCTATATGATCACCTGAACTCTCTCTATTTGTGTTTAAAATAGTGAAATACAACATAAACTGCAAGTTGTGATATTTTGGTTTGGTGAATACAAGTTTTAGTTCTTATATTTAATATTTGAGCAACTGAATAAATAATGTTACAATTGAAATATACCATTCTGCTAAAATTGTTTATTTTAAATCTAGGAAAAGAATAAATAAAATACAAAATCACAATGGCTCAATTTAGTAGTTACCTATATTAACTGCTGAAAGTGCTTTGATTTTATTAGGATTCAGTTATTAGTTACTAGGCAATTATTTGCACACAATATTATTGTATCAGCCTGTAACTAAATGGTCAAAGTTCAAACTAGGAAGTAGATACAAGGTCCTTGAATAAGCTGTTGTGTTTCCCCCTTTTTGTATTATAATATTTATTTTTTAAACTGGCATGCACATATGTAATATATATATGATATATAATATATATTTCAGTACAGGAAATTGCCCATCGTCTATTTCTTTTCTGCTCATATTATGATTCTTTTCATTTCTTGATAATAAAAAATAATTCTCGCATAGAGAAAAAAAATCTCTCATGATCTCACCTTCACCTGAGCTTGTGGAAGGTCTCTGCATGCAGTGCTACTGCTGGAGACTCGCGTGGAGAGGCTGCTCTCGCTGCTTAAAACTCCTGCTCCTTTTAGACTCTCATCAGAACAGGCTTTTGGTTCAAAACACCCTGTGTTTTTCTTCCTTGTCAATCCCACCGTCTGGCTGTGACACACGGTGGTTACAAGTTAATGCCTTTCCAAGCACTTACTGCACCTCATGTAACACTTTACTGAAATTACATGGCTTATTCAAAATGGCTTCACTCATGTCAAACTAATTATATATTCTAAATAGCTTAATACCTATTTTTAAAATAGTTTGTACTATAGGCTCAGCCTGTCCCTGTCACTCTGCCTTTCAAATAATTAAAATCCTCTTTTAAAAAAGATTATTGTTTTATTCATTTGAAAGGCAGAGTTACAGAGAGGGAGAGGCAGATCGAGAGAGAGAAACCAGGGTGGGGCCAGGCCAAAGCCAGGAGCCTCTTCAGGGTCTCCCACAAGGGTGCGGGGCCTAAAGACTTAGATCATCCTCCCCTGCTTTCCCAGGTGCATTAGCAAGAAGCTGGATCTGAAGTGGAGCAGCAAGGACTTGAACCAGAGCCCATATGGGATGCCGGTGTCCCAGGCAGCAACTTTACCTGCTATGCCAACGATGCTGGCTCCTCAAATAATTAAAATCTTTTTTAAAAAAATCTCATGTCTTATGTTGGAGTATCTTGGTTTAATGCCCTGATCCAGCTCCTAAAATAGAAAGAGAGAAAGAAAGAGAGACAGAAAGAGAGAGAGAATCCCCTCTGCTGATTCACTCCCTGAATTCCCCCAGCAGCCCAGAGGAACTAAATCCCTGTCTCCCACATAGTGGCAGGAACCCAAGTACATGAGTCATCCACCTACCATCTCCCAGGGTGTGCCTTAGCAGGAAACTGGAATCCTAGCGAACTCAAGCACTCCAATAGGTACATGGGTGTCCCAGGCTGAATATTAACTCCTGGGTCAAACACCAGGCTGCTCCCTGCCATTTCTTAAGGGTTGCAACTTAGCTGCCACTGTGGACAGAAGCAAGCTGTCTATACAGGGTACAAGTGTCAGGTAGGAAGTCAGAAATGAGCTTATGTGTGTGTGACAAAGGCCTAAGGCAATGACATCCAGGTCCAGCATCTGCATCTCAAAGTCATCGGAGAACCTTCCAGGCACAGCCCAGTATCTGCACTTGAAACATCCTGCCCATCCTTCCTCTAACCTGGGGCAATGCCAGCCAGGCTCCCCCCTGTCTGATAACTTCAGGGGGGAAACTCAGAAAGGAATTTTTCATATTTACATCCAAAAAGTCCTTTCTTCCAGGAGGAGAAGGAGAAGAGGTGGGAAGTCAGGACCCATCCCCTTAAAAACCCCAGCCTAAATGTAAACTGCGCACTCTCTCTCAGGTCCTGTCTGGAGAGGTGTCCATCTGTTCTTACGGATGTCCCTACCCTAACAAACCTTGCTATTTTGCCTTCCACTACTCTCTGTCTCACACCTGAATTCTTTCTTGCATGAAGACAAGAACCCTTGCTTCTCCAGTAACACAGGGAGGTAGGGTGCGTGTCTGTGTGGGGGTCAGACTAATGAGCGAGCCCAGAGATGGCTGAGGGGCAAGTGACTTGGATGAGTGAGGGGAGGGGCCATGAAAGCCAGCTGCTCTTCCCCTGTTTGGAGGCTCCATCCTTGGTCAAAGCTAAGCTTGATCTCATCAGGACAGACAGGAGCTTCCTTAGGAGCCAGTTGCTCACTTGCACCTGAAGGGCTGGGATGTGCCTTTTACTTTCTGCAGCTCCTCTATCCCAGCATTTTTTAGCTTAAGCAAATGTCAGCTGCTGAGGCTTCCTGTGCATCAGTGTTGCTCAATGCTTAAGTACCCAGTGTTTCTTCACAGGGAGATCAGGCGGCTCTGCAGATTGACAAAAGGCGCTGCTGTTCCAGGTGTGAAAAGAATAAATGTGGCCAAGTGGGTAAAGCCTCGGCCTGCAGCGCCGGCATTCCAGATGGGCTGCTGCACTTCTGATCCAGCTCCCGGCTAATGTGCCAGGGAAGGCAGCAGAAGGCGGTCCAAGTGCCTGGCCCCTGAACCCACATGAGAGACCTGGAAGAAGCTCCTGGCTCCTGGGTTTGAATCAGCCCAGCTCTGGCCATTGTGGCCATTTAGGGAGTGAACCAGTGAATGGAAGATCTCTCTCTGCCTCTGTAACTCTGTCTTTCAAATAAATTAGTGAATCTTGAAAAATAAAGTTCTATGCTGGCGCCGCGGCTCACTAGGCTAATCCTCCGCCTTGCAGTGCTGGCACACCAGGTTCTAGTCCCGGTCAGGGCGCCGGATTCTGTCCCGGTTGCCCCTCTTCCAGGCCAGCTCTCTGCTGTGGCCAGCGAGTGCAGTGGAGGATGGCCCAAGTGCTTGGGCCCTGCACCCCATGGGAGACCAGGAGAAGCACCTGGCTCCTGCCTTCGGATCAGCACGGTGCAGATCCACAGCGCATTGGCCGTGGCGGCCATTGGAGGGTGAACCAACGGCAAAGGAAGACCTTTCTCTCTGTCTCTCTCTCTCTCACTGTCCACTCTGCCTGTAAAAAAAAAAAAAAAAAAAGAAAGTTATAGTTTTCTTTGATTTATATAATTAATTATGTTGCACTCTATATTTTATTTTGAAGCATTAGTGTGTTAAATGTAAGGCTTTAAAATTTACCACAATTCATTTTTATGCTAATTTTTAGTACACATTTATTTTTCATTGATAAAGAGTTTTCTGCTTCTCAAAGAAAAAGTATACTTAAATTTTCCATTTGGATAATAAAAGAAAATATCTTATGATTTGTTCCCCATCATTTTTTTTGGTTTTTAAAAAGACTTATTTATGTATTTGAAAGTCAGAGTAACAGAGAGAGAGATCTTCCCTCTGCTGGTTCATTCCCCAGATGGCTGTTATGGCAATGGCCGGCCACTGACTCCATTTTCAATTCCAGCTTCCTGTTAATGCACACACCGGGAAGCAGCAGTGATTGCAAAACTGTGTGGTTCCCTGTCCCACATGTGAGAGACCTGGATTGAGTTCAGGCCTTGACGTTGACCTGGCCCAGCCCTGGCTGTTGTGGACAATTGGGGAGTGAGTGGAGTAGCAGATGGACGATTGCTCTCTGTCTCTGTCTCTTTGCCTTTCAAATAAATGTTAAAAAATAACTTTTTAAAAAAGAGGGACCATCAAAAGCGGGGGCGGGGTGGGGAGAGGAGCAAGATTGGGGAGGGAGTCTAGTTAAGTGGCTATGTTAGGTAGGAAGTCAGATATGAGCTTATATGTATGTGACAAAGGCCTAAAGAAAAGACATCTATGTCCAGCATATGCATCTGCATCTCAAAGTCATCCCGATAACGTTTCAGGGACAGCCCAGTATCTGCATCCTGCCCTGCCCCCTTCTACCCAATAACCTGCCAGGTGGGGGTCCCCACCCCTTCTGCCTGACAGTCTTCCACAATCTCCCAGATGCAGCCCAGTATCTGCATTTCAAATACCCTTCTCCAGATCCGGATTCTCCAGGGGGTCCTGCTCACCCTTCCTCTAAACTCAGGACAGCGCCAGCTAGGCTTCCTCCTGTCTGATACCTTCAGGGGAAAACTCAGATAGGAGCTTCTTAATATTTACATCCATAAAATCCTTTGTTTCAGGAGGAGATGTGTAAAGACAAAGACCCATCTCCTCAAAAACCCCCGGCCTCAACCAGACTGTGCGCTCAGCCTTCTGCTTCTATTCTGAGTCGCCTGCCTGCCTGCCCAGGTGTAATCTCTCCACTCAACCATGTAACCTCGCTCCTCCCCCAAGTCTGATCGACTGGGCACTCTCAGGTCCTGTCTGGACAGGTGTCCATCCGTTCTTACGGATGTCCCTTCCCTAATAAACTTTGTTACTTTACTTTCCACTACTCTGTCTCATGCCTGAATTCTTTCTTGAGCAAAGACAAGAACCCTGCCATTCTCTGGTAACAGCTAGTGCAACTAGCTGTTGAACTTGATGAAACCAAGGGATAATTCCTATTGATTGTTGCATTCTAGTGCCTGATATAATCTCCAGTACAGGGAATGAACTCAAATCATGTTTGCCAACTGAGCTCAACTGTTTTCCTCATCCACACT